CATAAACATTGTTTTGAGCGATAATATATATAAATAATTTTGGATTTCTGTGCAGTTTCCCCACAACGGTATACGGTTAACGCTTGTAAAAGGCATTACTCTTAAATGTTGCTAAACCTGGGACACTCATGTGGTAGGTTCTACTAACAACAAGGAGCCCTTTTCCTCTACAACTTATTCACACAACAGATATACCATATAGCTATTTGGAAAAGGTTTTATGTAAGGTGGATTCAACAAATTTTTGTGTCTCAAGAACTATTCTCCAGCTTGGGTTGCTCAAATTCAATCAGGAATCTCGCTGTATCCTACCCTTTATCTTGTTTGTGTTTCTTTCATGCTTGAAAACGTTGGGCACAACTTATGTCTATCGATCTTAGCGTTTAATTTGTATTTCATCAATACTAATTTGATATCTATGGCCATCTCATGAAATAAATTATTTACAGATGTCATCCATGAATGAATTTTGTGAAGTTTGCTGGGACAAAGCTCGAGATTTGAGCTTACATGTACCAGAAGGCCCACAAGAAAGATCCCAGCATATTTTGTTGCCCATATTTAAGAATTTTCGCTTTCATGCAGTATATACACTAGAGGTATCCCGAGAGAGAATAGATGGTTTAGAGAGAATAAACCCAATATTGCTTCATGCATAAATTAAGTCCTGCTATTTTTCCACTAAATCTTTGTATTTATAGTTGCAGAAACAAACATGATTGGGCGGGACGTCATCAGAAGTTATTGCTGTAATTGCATTGTAGGTTTAAGAGCAGTGGGATGTTACTCACATGTTATGAGTATTATTTGGTACCTAAGCCATGCTCGCCATGAGGGTATTATCCGGCGTGCCCCCTTTATAAAGAATTCATTGATTATAAGTACAATAAAAATAAAAAACAAAATATTTTTTATTTACCTAAACTCAAAATCCCATCAGAACTTTATCATTATCAAATGTTGCAGTCCGCTGCTGAATATAGGTATCTTAATTCACAACGCAGAGTAGATACAGATCCTCATCTCAATCTACCTACTTAATGATAGAACCACGCTGTAGCTATAATATAGTTGTAGTACGAATGACTGCTCGACCGGGGAAGAACCACGTTCTCACAGAATACCAGTGTAAAATAGCAGTTTAATACTGCTGTGTTTCTTATGGTGAGTGTAGAGATCCGGAAACCCTCTTTTTACTGGAAACGAGGCATTCGATCCTAGTCTTAAGAGGTGACAACGCATCTGAATTGTGATTCTAAATCGAGGATAAATGTAGATGTCCATGGGACACAGCATCCACTAACCATCAGGTGGACTGTTTGTTCGATTGTCACCCTTGTTCTTTATAAATTAACGGTTAGTAAAGCACTACAGAGTAGAGAAATGCAATATAGAATATTTACTTTATCACAAAAACAATGTTTATTTGCCTACATGTAACATAGGTACACTAGGAGAGGTTATGGCTATCGACGAATTGTTGGACAATTTGTCGCTTCTGTTTTGTTGCTTGAATAATGGTTTGAAGCAGATTTTGATTCGTAAAAGAGATGCGATTTTGTGAATTGTCTGCGCGTGTGAACTATTAGAGAAAACGACGAAACAAGTGGTTTGATGTTAATATAATCTCACAAAAACTGTGACGCAAAAAGTGACGCATCAGCATATTGTGATGAAAGTATACAAAAACGAAGATTACAAAAGAAATGATTATTATGAGGCTTAGAAGGTCTAGAACCCGAAGCCGTAAAGCCAGTTAAATAAAAAAAATGTAACACTAGTTCATAATATTATATATTAGTCTAAGTTTTATGTAGATATCTTAAAAATTAAAACTGGTTATAACTTTTATCTCCCAAGTTCTAAAAATCTAAGAATTTAAAAGTGTTTCGTCTATCCTACTATCTACCAATTAAAACCAAAATTATCCCAAAACACGAAATTTTATTAGCGGTACGAAACTCCCATACAAGCATGCCATTCCCCTTTGGCATATTGACCCTTTTTTACTGTAAACGAGGCATTTCATAACATACTTAGCTTAACAGATTGGTAGACTGTTACGGTAATGGGTGTACTTTAAGCGCGAAGAACTGAAAACTCGAAGGATTGAAGTGATGAAGGATACCAGCGTGAAATGGCTGCTGTGTTTCATATGGTGGGTGTAGGGAACCGGAGACCCTTTAACTGGATACAAGCCGATTCCATCAGAGTCCTTAGGGGTGACAATGCATTTTACTTTCGATACTTAGTTGAGGATATATGTATATAGATGGCTGTGGGCCTTAGCATCCACTTACCAGCCGGTGCAGGATAATGTGTTCGCTTAGCATCCATGTTCTACAAAAAAGAAAAATATACATAATTTAATATAGTATATTCTTCTTTTATTCGGAACTTCTTTTAATCGGGGCAGTATTTATATAATATACCCGACCCGACTTTACAAGATATTAAGTGGAAATTATTTTATTTCAGTTATTTGAAGTCGCCTTTTACTTTTTATTAAATATCTAATGTTTGGATTCCTGTCAGTGGATTAGGGAATAACTCAAAGTTACAGTAACAACTAAGAGGTCGTATAAATTAAAAACATCAGCCCATAATTTCAAGTTAGTAACCCCTTAGTTTAAAGCAGATATCGTAACATCATACATTCAAAAAGAAAAATACGGTCAAATTGAGAACTTTCTTTAAATATATTGATAATTACTTTTGTTACGTAAGTATTATTTAATTCGAGTTTTGGCGGGAGCTTTTCTCGTGGATTTCAGTTCTTGTATAATGTTATAAATAATGCTTTGAAGAAGATTTGATACGTAAAAGTGACGCGATTTTGTGTATTAAATGTCTGCGCATGTGAAATGAAACTTTTTTGCTCATTATAGATTATATAAATAATACATATTGAAACCTATACTACCTATTTCATTTAATTACTATTGGTTCGGGAAAAACAGCAAGCTCTGACCTGGGAAGAAACACCAAGAAACCCAGAGAGACTTCAAAAAATAAATAACAGCTTACGATCATGTTATAAAATTAATCAACACAAAATAAATTAGAAATAGCTTAGGAGCGATCATCTCATTCGCAGGGATTATTCATCATCATCATCATTACAGCCCTTCACAAGTCCACTGCTGAACATAGGCCTCTCCCAAGTAATGCCACAAATCACGGTCCTGAGCTACCTGCATTCATCGACTTCCTGCATGTCTTACCGGGTCATCACTCCATCTAGTGGGGGGTCGCCCTACACTACGCCTACCGGTACGAGGCTGCCACTCGAGAACCTTTCTTCCCCATCGGTTATTATCATTTTTAAATTCCTTAATATTATAATAAATCTTTTATATAAACTTAGTTTAATAAACTTTTTGAACTGATCAATTTTTTTACATTTTCTGGGATTCTGTTGTAAAAGCGTATACATCGCCCTAAAAATGAATTAATGACTCGGTCTAGTTGAGTAACTTGTACTACTATATATATACAAATTTCTTATATTTCTTCTCTGAGCGACTGTTTAGATTTTAAATCATAGTTTGCTCTAATGGCCCTCTTTTTGTAAAACAAATATAATTTCAGTGACAGTCGTGCATCCCCATAGCAAAATACAATACGACATTATGCCATGGAAATAGCTAAAATAAATTAGTCTAGCTGTTTCAGCACGGGTAAGACAGAGTTTTTTTACAGCATATGCTGCAGAACTTAATCTGCTCACTAGCTTTGAAATATGGGGACCCCATTGAAGCTTTGCTTCTAGTGTGATTCCAATAAAAATAATGATATCGGCAAGACCCAGCTCCTCGCTATTTAAAATTATATTAGTATTAACATGTTAGATATTTGGAGTTATTAATTTCATACATTTAGTTTTAGCGCCATTTAAATGCAAATTATTAACATTAAACCAATTTATTAATTTACTCGTAGAATAGTAATGTTTACTTCGTTATATTATAGCAACCGTCATTTTAATTTGAAAATTAATGAACCAGCAAATAATAATATATCTTAGACACAAACAAGAAACAGAAAGGGGCCGAAAATTGAGCCCTGAGGCACGCATATTTGTACCATCGACCCGGAAGAGTTCATACTATTAATTACAACTTTGTGCGTTTTGTTATTTAAATATGACATAATATATTTTGGAGCATCACTTCTTATACCGTTGTTCTGAAGTTTCCGGATTAATGTTTCATTGTGAGCACAATCGAACGCCTTTGTGAGATCACAGAATATGCCCAAATTATCCTGTGAATTCTCCTATGTATTGCAGATACTACATATAATCAGCTTAACTACAGAGTCGGTTGTTGAGCGACCCCTTGTTAAACGGAATTGATTTTTATGGAGTGAATTTTTATAATAAAAAAATAATAACATTTCATCAATATGATTTTTTCAATAATTTTATAGAAGTGTTGGCAGTACTCAATTTGAGACCAATTCAAAATTGGTCCAATGTACTACCATATTTAAATAAAGGTATTGGTAAAGGATTTGCTATACTTTGTTATACTTTATTAAATCAGGAAACACCAGATTAAATACTACTATTAAAATAATAGCTAGTTGAGGTGCGATTGTATCTATTATAGATGCTATAATTTTAGTGGAAACTCCATAGATTTGTGGTTTTCTTAATATCAATCGTTCTTAAATATTTAACAATATCTTTTGATTATATGATATGAAATTTAATACAATTCTTTGTACACGTATTTATATTTTGTTTAAGTAATGATTCGGCGATGGCAGGAGAAGAATTTGGTGACATGATGACATAAATATCTCAGTAGTATAATAATATAGTAATTAATGTGTATTTTTAATAGAGAAATTAATTTTTAATACTTGCTTTATTTTTACATTTGAATTTAAAACTAAGAAAATACTAACAATTTAATTTCTAACTTATTCTACATAATTGTTTTTACCTGTAAAGTTAATTAAGGCAGTTATTTGTCCAATGAGTGTCAACGTTTCTATAATGTCATAAAATAATTATTTATCAAATCAGTTCTATGGTTTGTAGGAATATCATTAACAACTACATTATGAGGCATTGTACTATTGTCGATAGATGGTAGTTCTACTTCAGAGGGGATTTCTGTGAGATTGTGATTTCTGCAAATATTATGTAGGACTGTAGTTGCTATTATTACCGCCTTCATATTTGGTATTGACAAACATAGTGTAAGTGCTACAATAGGGAACCTACGTTTCCATACTCCAAATGCTCTGTAATACAAACAATTTGTTTATTAAACACCAGTATTCCCATAACACATTTTATCTAATAATACTGTTTTATTTAACATACCGTTCAATAGTATTTCTAGTTTTAATGTGTGCTTCATTGTACCTATGTTCAGCTTCAGAAACTGGATTCAGAACAGGTGTTAATAAATATGGCCTGTTTGGATAGGCACTATCTCCAAGTAACCAGCGATTCCCGAATTGCCCTGCATCACATTCAGCTGTTATAAAAACAAAGAATATTAGGCTCTGACAGTAAATATTCAAATTTATTACAATTTGAATACATATTATTTACACCTACCTCTCAGAATAGAGTTATTAAATATAGTTGCATCATGCGTAGAACCAGGCCAACGAGCCACAACATTTATAAACTTTAAGTCTGCATCACAAACACCTTGAACATTTAATGAAAAGTAACCCTTCCGATTTCTGTATTCTTCGCCTATTAAATGACCTAAAATATATAAACATTATTATTAGCAACTTCATAGTTTATTCATATTTGCCAAAATTTTAAGAAGAGTTGAGTATAGTTACTTACAAGGAGACTGTATGCGGATATGTGTGCCATCAATTGCCCCAAGCACGCGAGGAAATCCAGCAATTCTATAGAATTTGTCTGCACTCCTTCGATGAACATAAATATATTTATCATATAATTGGGCAATTGCTGATGATGTGTCTCGCACTATTCTGCCTGCTGTAGATTTTGAAACTCCAACAAAATCTGCTACGGATATCAACATTGTGCCTAGTGCATAAAACCGTAGGGTCAACAAAAGTTGATGCAATGGTGAAACTCCGTAATTTCCGCAAAGGATTACATAAAATGAAGTATATTATATACTTAGATTGTAAAAAATTATCTAATTTGCTATAGACCAGCTTTGCTTTACCTCGTGGATGTTACTCGTAATAATGGGGTTATTTCTAACAATAAAGAATTGAACGCATGTTTGTTCAATCGAAACCTAAAGGTAAAATCACCGTCATCGAGACTTTGCGTATAGTTCACTCTTCTGATTCTCTTTGGAGTGCGGCGTAGGGTTTCATCTTCATCACTCGAGTCAGATAACTGAGCTAGCATTTCCAAATCACTGTCACTGTCACTAGATAGTAATGTTAAATCCATTTTTGCGCAAATAAAATAAAACAAAATACGTAATCGGTTGGAACTCGAAGGATTAATCCTAGGCTTTTCTCGGATTGCGAATTTGGATTGTTTACACCGATCGAACTAAACGTCAAAATTGACAGATAGGTTATTGATACACACAAATTGTCATTCGCCCACAGAGGTCTATCTTTTTTTTGTAATCCGACCTCCCGAGGATAGCTTGCTTCTACAGATTGTAATTTTAATCCCTGGATTGGTTGTTGGCACTGTCTAACCATAAAATGGATTGAATTATCAATCTTGGATAGCTAAAAAATAGATTAAGATCGAATATTAGGTTCGGGCGTTAGTGGTTAAGATTGGAATGTCAGGAAAATATTTTTAAAAACCATTGCAACGTCCTGATCTGATTCAGTTTATTTATTATTAAAACTTCACTCGATGTTTGAATTGGAGTTGACCTTACCAGTTACACTATTAATAATACTCAATGTCATTTTATTTTTATATTAAGCCGTCCTAACTTTGTTGCTCATATGCAAAGACTTGGCCTTGGAGAATACTATTTTAAATAGTTTCGAATATTTTTGTACATATTCACTAAATTTTACGGAAGGATTATATGACCTTTCAATGTTAAGTCAATGTAACCTTTATATACTCTTATGGACTCTTACTTTCGTCCATTCATTGAATTCCTTCCGACTTTTCAAAGAGATTTTTTTAGAAATAAAAGTATTACCTTACTGGAGGAAGCTTCTAGGAGATTGATACTAAAGTCTCCACATATTACAACAGTTTTATTCCGTTTATTAAGCTTAACAAAAACTTAATTTTTTTGCAAAATATCATATTATATATACTATATATAATCTTCTATTTACTATGAGTATGAACGTCTCTATATCATGGGGTATATAGACGCTCACAGCAGTGAGGTACTCATACTCAACAGATGCCATTTCTACAGTTCGCTCAATAGAGATAATAATACTTTAGTGGTTAATATTCAGGAACCACCACTTAATGCCGTTTTTCTATTGAAAGAACTGACCACATGGTGATTACTGACGATGATAAGGTTCACCTCAAGATAATATTTCTGCTTAGGAACCTTTAAATACTATGGTCATCGAGTGTCTGCTGGCTCAAGTTGTCGTCAAAATCTCTAAAAAGCTTCACGATGTGATTTATAAACATATTGTAAATATTATTGTAGTTTAAAAAACTTAAAAAACACGCATTGATCATGAGTTGGGATGATTTTATACGAGTGCAACTTTTCAAGCCAGTCGGCCGTCTACAAGTTGGTGAAAATAACATTAAACTTGCTTAGTAACGGTGTAAGAATCTCCACTACCCAATATCATTCCGTGGGTTTCATAAGAGATGACAAAGGGAAACAAACCAGAAGATGAGCAGCAGCGTCTTCCTAATAAAGTCTAAAAATAAAAAATAAACTCCAATTGAAAATAACCTTACATATGAATATTCCCCCTGTGAGGCAATTTAAAGAGGAGGCCTATGTTCACCAGTGGATTTTAATGAGGTGTAACGGTAACAGTAACTTCAAATTATTCCGTTACATAGATAGACACGCGATGCTAATAAACGCGTGTCAAAAAGTCTTAAAACGAATAATTCATCATCATCATCATTACAGCCATTCACAAGTCCACTGCTGAACATAGGCCTCCCGCAAGTAATACCACAAAGCACGGTCCTGAGCCACCTGCATCCAACGACTTCCTACATATCTTACCAGGTCGTCACTCCATCTAGTGGAGGGTCGCCCTACACTACGCCTACCGGCACGAGGCTGCCACTCGAGAACCTTTTTTCCCCATCGGTTATCGGTTCTTCGAGTTATATGGCCGGCCCATTGCCACTAAAGCTTATATAGCTATGTCGGACACTCTGGTTTTACTGCGGATATCCTCATTTCTGAGTCTATCACGCAGAGAAACTCCGAGCATAGCCCTCTCCATAGCTCGCTGAGCGACCTTGACCGCCCTCATACGGCTAGCAGTGAAGGACCACGTCTCAGATCCGTAAGTCATCACTGGCAATAGGCACTGGTTGTACAATCTAGTTTTTAGAGATTGAGGTATACCTGACGAGAAGATATGTCGTAATTTCCCGAACGCTGCCCAGCCGAGTTCAATCCGTCGATTGACCTCTCGGTCGAAGTTGGACTTACCTAGTCGGACTATTTGTCCCAGGTAAACGTACTCGTCAACAACTTCGAGCATAGTGCTCCCAACAACAACCGGCATAGGTGTGACATGGACATTAAACATAATCTTTGTTTTGTCCATGTTCATCTTAAGACCTATCCGTTGGGAGGCACTATTGAGGTCATCGAGCATAATGCTTAAGTCCTCCAGCGATTCTGCCATAAGGACTAAATCGTCGGCAAATCGAAGGTGAGTGATGTACTCGCCATTGATGTTAATACCGTATCTTTTCCAGTCCAGTAGCTTGAAAACGTCTTCCAATGCAGCGGTAAAGAGTTTCGGGGATATAACGTCACCCTATCTTGTACTCTTCATTCTTCTGTACAATCTGCCGCAGGGTATGTATGTGGTCTATGGTACTGAAGCCTTTTCGGAAACCGGGTTGTTCGGGAGGCTGTAAGTCGCCGAGTCTGTGTGCGAGACGATTCGTAATGACTCTCAAAAACAGCACATAGACGCGGCTCAGATGGAAAATCGGTCTGTAGTTTTTCAAGAGAGCGTTGTCGCCTTTCTTAAAGAACAAGACCACCGCACTTCTGCTCCATGCCTCTGAAGTAGTGCCACCATGGAGGACGGAATTGAAGAGCTTCTGAAGGACTTCAAGTACAGGTGTTCCACCCGCTTTCAGAAGCTCCGCTGTAATTTCATCCTCGCCTGGGGCCCTGCCATTTTTAAGGTGCTGGAGAGCCATTCTAATCTCGCTTAGACTGACGTCCGGGATATCATCGGAATAGTGTCGGATAAGACTTGCTCTTGGATCGTTACTCACACTTGCGTGTGGCTCCAATGATGATGTGTACAGCTGCCCATAGAACCTTTCAATCTCACACAAAACCTCAGGTGTCCCGGAAACGATGCTGCCACACTCAGTCTTCAGCTTTGAGTGTTGGCTCTTACTGGCAGACAGATCTCTGGCAAAGACTTTGGAGCCCTGGTTCCGCTCGATCGCTTCTTTAATACGAGCAGTATTAAAGTTGCGTAAGTCTCGCCGCATGCATTTTGAGATCTTTCTGTTCAGTTGCCTGTATGCTGTCAAATCTGTTGACGATTACAGCCTCATCTCCCGTCTAACAGCCATGAGATTAAGAGTGTGATCGGAGAGTTTTTGTGTTCTTCTGCGGCGGGTCTTGCAGAACTTAGCTCCGACCGCATGGACAGTTTCCACGAGCTTGTCATTCATATCGTCCACTGCATTGCAATCTTGTAGACACTGAAAGCGGTTACGTTACTCGAGCTGAAAGTTTTCGGGATTCTGGATTAGAGCACGAGGGGGACGTAGCGTTGATTTCATTAGACGAGACCTCTCCAACTTAACGTTTAGGCTCAGTGTGCCTCTAACCATTCGGTGATCGCTGCCGGTTTTCACCCTTGCGATCACTGAGACATCACTGAACAGTTGGCGTTTGGTCGTCATAATGAAGTGAATCTCATTTATTGTCAAACCGTCGGGGCTCGACCAGGTGAACTTCCTGTGGGGCCGCTTCTGGAAGAAAGAGTTCATCATAAAGAGTCCCTCTTTCTCCATAAAGCCGGCCAGCTGCTGACCCTTCGGTTCTGTTGCCTTACTCCAAATCTCCCTAACTTCAGCTCACCGTTTTCTCTTGTGCCTAGTTTTGCGTTGAAGTCTCCCATCACCACCGTGTAGTGGGTTTTGGAGGAATTCATGGGTTTGGAAATATCCTCATACATTTCCTTCACCTCGTCATCGGGATGTGCCGAGGTTGGTGCGTAAACCTGTATGACCTTCACCGAATACCGTTTGGTGATTCTGATTATCAGATACGCGACCCTCGTCGTGACACTCCCATTCGTTACAACGTTGTTGACGAGAGACTTGTGGACGATAAATCCGGACACCTCCTTGGGACAGGTGGTCGCCCTCCCGATGATAGATCAAGGTGCCGGATTCGAGAATCACCGTGTCCTCCCCCTCTCTTCGGACCTCGGATAATCCTATAATATTCCAGCGCAACTTGTCTATCTCTTCTTCCAGCTCCAGGATCTTCTCGTCAGTCTTCAGGGTGCGTGCGTTAAATGTTGCCAGGTCGAGTGCTCGTAGGTGGCAACCGAACCTCCACCGGAGATTCTTAGCATCCCCTGCCCCGCCGTTACCATGGTCGCCACCGTAGCCAGGAATAGCGGGGCCGCCGGGGACTGGGGGCCGTCTATTTGTGTAATTGTTCATGGGGGGTATATTGCCATAGTTGCCACGCTTGGCGAGCGGTTTTCAACCGCAGTTTTTTTTTGTCGTACAGTTGCTGTTATCAGGAAGATGCTGTTGCCCATCTCCTGCCTGTTTCCCTCTGTCGCCTTTTACGATACCCACGGGAAGATATGGGGTAATGGATATTCTTAACCGCCACTACACGGCTTTTACGACTTAAACGAATAATTATAAGGAATAATTTTCAAATGTACTTGACAACAACAAAAGTGCGAAAACAGAAAAAAATCTTTCATGATTTGTTTTCTTTCGGTTGTTGTTCATACAGCCGCAGAAGGCTAAAACTCTGCCTTAAATTTTACTATCTAAAGATACCCCTTTTCTCTGTCAGAAGTATTTTGGGGACAATTCTTACATTAGTTCCATTCAATGTTGTAAAAAAAATGCTATATTATTTGAAAAATGCGCAGACGGACATTTGAGATATGAACTCAATTTTCCAATAAAGCATTGAAATTGATCTAACTTATAACATAAGAATGTGAAGTTTCCTTTCTCTATTTTATTTTTATATCTTTCTTAGAGAGGAAATAAAATTGCTCTGTGAATCAAAA